TGTTTGTTTTTTCCTTTTCCTAGAAACGTAAACAAGCAACGCTTAGCCTGGCGGCGGGGCTAGTAAAGCATGGCGGGCACTGGGGGGAAAACCCTGTATCGATTTGTCAAATTTAGATTTTTGGAAAATCTAGTTATTGTTTCTTTCCACCGATGGGTTTCCATAGTTCATAGTGATGTTGTCCCATCTAAGAACTACCATATTGTTTGATAAGCCTATTCTACAGGTACTATTTATTTTGACTTTGAATTCAGGTCAACTCAAAGAAAGAATGATTGAAATAAAAGCCAGGGTTTGTTTTTTTGTTTTTTTAGATTTTCTGTCATTTGTATTTTTTCTTCTTGTTTTTTTGAAGAACAAAAAGGAAAAATGGATCAAAATTGGAAATTTAATCTTGGGTTAAAAAATATCGAAGATTAAATTTTTTAAGCCATATTTCCCATCCCGCTCTGGTTCATACTGTCAGATATTGGGCCAGAGCACCCACAAATTTTTTTTTGAATTTTTTTTTTAATGAATGCATATTTTGCAGACATTGTACTTTTATTTTTGGATTTTTATGAATATATGCAATACAAAAGTATTTGAAAATTATGAAGTTATAGTAATTTTGTTGAGGGAGCAACATGGAGCTACTGCCTAGCGTCAGTTCATACCCAGTTAACATGGTTTCCAGCCCAGGGGCCCCATCCTGCTCTGTCACAGCAGTTTCCTCTCCTTCCACAGGAGAAGAACTCGTTCTTGAACTACAACGTGTCCTGCATCCTCACCATGCCGCAGTACATGAGGCAAGGCTACGGAAAGATGCTCATTGACTTCAGTGAGTACAAACACGGCTCTCATTCACTGATAAATGTCGCCTGATTTAGGAGGGTGCCTCTCAGAAAAGTTTCAGCAAAACTGTTGTACGTCTTTTCTGTTCTGCACTAAGATATGCGCAGAGAATTCAATTAAAAACAACTTTCTCTCCTGTCCAAAAACAACAAACAGGCTATCTGTTGTCCAAGGTGGAGGAAAAGGTGGGCTCGCCTGAGCGCCCCCTGTCCGACCTGGGTCTGATCAGCTACAGGAGTTACTGGAAAGATGTTCTGCTGCGGTACCTCAACAGTTTTCAGGGAAAGGAGATCTCCATCAAAGGTTGGAATGTTTTTCTTTTATTATTATTTTACCTTTATTTAATCAGGAAAGTCCCAATGAGATTAAAAACCTCTTTGTCAAGAGAGTACTGGCCAAGAGGGAGCAAAGGTCATACAACATTTAGAAGTAGTTCTGATGTGCTTGAATGTGCTCATACAGAGACACCGAGTCCAGATTTTGAAGGAAAATTCTGTAGAATTTTTTACATCATGGATTCCAATGAAAACTAGGGGTTCACTGATTGCAGTTTTCTGGTCAATCACCAATATTTATAAACCAGATTTTGGGCAGCACCATTTTTTTTTTTTGTCTGAAAAGTTGCTGTGGAGAAGCAGCATTCAGTTTCTATGTTCCACTAATCTGAAACAAACTTCCAGAAAACTGCACAACTGCCGAAACAGTTCCTTTAAATGAAGGCTAAAAACCGTTTGATTTAAAGCTGCATTTGAATCATAATAACTGGAACATTGATAAATATAGTCAAAGTACATGATTTTGATGTTCTCATTTGACAAAATCTTGTTTCATAAATTAGTTACTGTATTATTTTTTTATGCTCTAAACCCTTTGGGTAACACTTTATTTCAGGGGTCCCCAAACTACGGCCCGCGGGCCGGATCCAGCCTGCCACGTCATTTGGTCCGGCCCCCTGAACAATGCCGGATCCGGCCCGCCACCTCATACCAGAGAGCATTCAGTGTTTGTTTTTTTTCATATATTGTATTTTCCGGTTTATATGTGGATTTTTCTTCAACCACCAGGGGGACTCTTGAGCAGATGTGAAACTAACTTTCCTTCAATGAAAGATATACTAGTCAGTCCCAGTCACCGTTTCACTCACGGTTTTTTCCATTTGCATTCTGGGTAAAAATCTATCTAAAAGCGCGAATGTGTCGCAGAATTGATCATTTTAATTTGATCATTTAGATACCAGCTATATTGGTACCAATCAGTCGAACCTACAGTATTTGAACCACTGAGGACCGTGGATTCGGCAGGCGCTGCTGACCCCACCACCCTAAACTCCTTTAATTTCTCCCTTTCTGTTGCAGAGATCAGCCAGGAGACGGCGGTGAATCCGGTGGACATTGTCAGCACACTGCAGTCCCTTCAAATGCTCAAATACTGGAAAGGAAAGCACCTGGTTTTAAAGAGACAGGTGAAGAACTCGGACTGTTGTCTTTGGTTTACAGTTTATTTTCCCATCTAGTCAGTAACTAACTGTCTTTTTTTCCTTTCTCTCTGAAGGACCTCATTGACGACTGGAAGGCGAAGGAGACCAAACGCGGTAATGGGAAGACCATTGACCCCACGGCCTTAAAATGGACGCCGCCTAAAGGGACGTAAAGGAGCTTCCTTCTTCCTCCTCCTTCGTTCACTGGCATCCTCACAGCTGCAGCACAGTCACATCTGACTACCGTTCACCATTTCTTTGGGTTCAAACAGTTTACGTGTTGACTTAAGTGAAACAAATATATCACTATGTAAATTTTAAAGGTTTTTATTATTATTATTCCTGCGGTTCTCACGCTTAAATACTTTACATTAAAAGGAAAATGTGGACAAAGTTGGACCTGGATTTTAATAGGGTTTGGACTGATGATATGAAGAAAAAAGTTATACTTGAACTAGACCATTAAATTTATGGGTTAGTTCATAAGAAATTTTTACAACTAAAATGGTTATATTAAGATATATAAATTGTGATATTTGCTGTATACGTGAAGAACTCTTCTGGAGTTCCTATATATTAACTAATTTATGCAAAGACAAACTTGACCTCTAAGGGTACAGGGTAGATAAAGTTTTACACTTTTTATGAATTTTAGGTTGGGAGCAGAGTTTAGCGCGTAATAATTTTCTTTATCATTTCTTGTTAGATTTGGACCGACGGCGTCTTGCAAAAGTATTCATACCCACTGACATTGACGTACTTTACATAAAACCTATAGCTTGTAACTGGTTTTCCTCCAAGATTTCCCTGTCTTTAGCTCCACCCATCTTCCAATTCTTACCAGCTTTCCCGTCTGCTGAAGGAAAAACTTCCCAAATGACCAAAAAAAAAATTAAGGAGTATGAACACTTTTTGCAAGAAACTATAAAGCCTTTGCATACAGGATGTCTGAATCATCATGTAGTTTGGTCTTAGGTCTCAGTGAGCCCATGTGTTATCTGAAAAGTGAAACTAATAGAGCGCCACTCGCCTGCCTCATCACTCAATTAGTAACGGGCACCAGACGCGCCTGCTAATCCAATCTGTGGCGGGCGGCATCGAACTGGAGCCGCACCTCGTTCCGCTGTGGAGATGCAACGCAGGTCAGCAACACGTTGACCTATGTGAAGACGTCCTGGCTGACGCAAACCACCTGGCCTGGCTGGGTTAGAAGGACACACCCTGAAAATATACAGTTTGTTAAAATAAGAGCTCTGAAGAAGTGGACTTTTTAAAAATAATTGTGTCTTAAAAACCTGTTTAGAGTTAAAATTATTACTATTTATCTTTTAAATGTCTAGAGAAACTCGTTTACACACTGTTTCCAACTTGAATGGGATGGTTTCCTTAGACATTGGTTGTAAAATCAATTTGCTTTTGTTCTAATTTCTGTGTACAAGTGAGTGGAGTGAACCAGCACTTCCTACCAATCTGCATCTGAAGTCAACATTTTAAATCCCACTAAGTATCAAAAAAGAAAAATCGATTTGGAAATATTTTAGTGATTGTGTAACTCTTCATCTGGTAACATCGAAGAAAAATGTCTGTTTGAACCCAAAGTAAATAACCTGTACGCGTCTTGTGTCTTACGTTCAGTCTGTCTCGGCGGTCAGTTTGCCAGGAAGCTATAGCTGCCACTGGCCACGTTCAGACGGCCCTCTGCTGTCGGACAGATTGTCACCTAGATGTGGGTGTGGGATCGATCACCTCTTGCCTGTTTTTACTCGTTTTCGTATCACTCGTGATGTTTGCGGTGTCCGAGGTTACACACGTTTGTTCTGTATCCTTTCATTTTTAAAAGTTCTCATTTCAGTTTTATACTTTTTCTACCTCTGAGGTTTTACTACTGTTTAACAGTTCAAGCAACTGTTGTTCTGTGTTTTCCTTTTTAACATGTGTTGACAATTTTATTTTATTTTTTTTCTAGTGGTTTAACCCATTTGGCGTTTCCCTTCTTTTAATAGCATAATTAATGCTATTATTTACATTTTTCTCTTGGGGGTATTTATATTCTTAACTTTAGAGCGTAAAGGGATGCTTTATTTAGCTGGACTGGCTTTCTTGTAAATATATTTATGTGAGACCAATATGTAGATCTGAATGTTGAAAGGTCGTTTAAAGAAGGAGGATTTCAGGTCATCCAACCCAGCAAACAGTGACAGATTTTTTATTTTTTTTTTACATTTCAGAGGCTTATTGCCTGCTATAGGAAGTGACAAGACTGAGTCAAAATGTGTCACTTTTGGACATTGTCACCACTTGTTACAGCAAAAACAAAAAAATGACAAGGATGAATACGGTATAAATGAGCTTGATTAGCAGCCCACACTGACAGACCGAAAGGGATTTTGTTTTATTAATATTTGTATTGGTAATTAATCTAATTCTATTTATGTGATTAGTCATAATCTGTTAAATGCACAGTTTATTATTTTTGAGAATATGCTGTAAGATAAATAAGCTAAAACCTACTACCGTTTTCGTTAGATTAGCACAAAGACTATGAGCCGTTAGCTAGCCAGGTTGTTGCTTCTTCTGCTCCTGTAATTGATCAGTTTAAAATAAACCAAATGTAGAACATATTTATGGGACTCATATGGGTCCTTGTTTAGAGCAAAGTCAATCTTCTAGTTTCTTTTTGTTTTAGTCTTTGAAATAAGCTGAGCAAACTGAGTAGTTCAGCTTAGTTTTGTACTTAGCTACCCAGCTGCTAGCCTTGGTTTGCACTTTTTTTGCTTTACAGCTATCCTTACGTAGCTTCTTACTGGGCTAAACAAAATCACTATAGCATAGATGTGTACTTAGCGACTACCAGTGTTGAGCATAGCTTTGTACTTAGTTTAGCTAAGCTATCTGAATGGTAGCTTAGCATAGCTTTGTACTTAGCCAAGCTAAGTGACTGTCATCTTAGCTTTGTTTTGTGTTCAGCTAAGCAACCTGAGTGGTTGTTTAGCATAGGTCTGTACTTAGCTAAGCTTACTGATTGATGTCCTAGCTTAATTTTGTGTGGTAGCCTAGCATAGTTTTTTTTTAACCTATCTAAGCTAACTCACTGCTGTCTTAGCTTTGTGTCTGAATCTGAGTGGTTGCTAAGCAATCTGAATGGTAGCTTAGCATAGCTTTGTACTTAACTAAGCTAACTGTCATCTTCGCTTTGTTTTGTATTTATCTAAGCAGTCTGAGTGGTTGCCTAGCATAGCTTTGTACACAGCTAAGCTAACCAACTGCTGTCTTAGCTTTGTCTTTAGTTAAGCAAACTGAGTGGTTACTTAGCACAGGGTTAGAACTTAGCTAAGCTGAATGACTGCTGCATTCACTTAGCTTTTATTTACCTCACCAATCTGAGTAGTGACTGACCTAAATTTGTATTTAGCCTGCTTTATACTGCTAGCTTAGCTTAGCTGTGTACTTGGCTTACAAGAGCATGCTATCTTAGCTTTTAGTTTTGTAAGCAACAAGAAACAAGATAAGTGGCTTGTGATGAAATTGAAGTCTCAACATCATTTGATCATAAAACATGTATTTTTTTCCCCATTTGATATTTTGTTTTGGAGCTTTAAACATTTAGTTGCTGACATTTTTTTTGTCTCTGCCAGACTGTATTTTTTTTTGTACATTTTGTCTAGTGTGGTGTAATATATTCTTTCTGTAAAATATGTGAAGTTGAAGATATTCTCACTGTTTCTTTGTTTCCTCTGTTCATGCATCTGTAGAAACATGGCTGGCAGGCCGATCTTAATATGTTTTTACTTAAATTCTAAATAAGGACTATTTTTTGTGCCAACCGTTAAAGGCAAAGCGCACTCCATTGGTTTAAAGTTGTCAAAGAACAAAAGTCTATCCAAGGAAACTCTTCAAATGACTGTTTCATACTTGACTGTGAATCTTCTGGTGTTGAGCGCTCGTCTTTTACAACAAAGCATAGCTTGAACCTATTTCCTGTTTCTTAACCTTGGGAGAATGGTTACCTTGTTTTTAACACAAAAGGAATACATCCTATTTGGTAACGCTTTATTTGAATGGTGTCTATAAGACTTACATAACACCTGTCATGAAAATGAAGACACTTCAGGAATGTTTACGTCTGTTGTCATGAAGTGTTATTCGGCAAATAATGACACTTTCAATGCAAAATTGAGACATTTAATGGACTTTTAATCCTACTTTGCATTATTTACCGAACGACACTTCATGAACATTCAGGAAGATTCCTTCATGTTCATGGTAGGTGTTATGTCATGTTTATGACTTCAAATAAAGTGTTACCTCTTATTTTATTTTAGAACATGAAATTCTCATTTGATGATAAAATAAACTTGAAATAACGGGCTCCATCCACACCACAGACTATTTTTGTCAGAAATAGTCTGTGTGTTGAGCGTGTCAGTCCATTGTAACTATGGTGAGATATTCTCACATCGTGTCTTTGTATGCCTTGAGGTCACCATACCCATTTTGTTTCTTTTGTATTGTGTTTTTTTTTATCCAATTATTGTTTCTGTATTATTTTTACCTTTTTTTGTTTGTTTTGGTTTTTGTGCCAATGGCAGCTATAGATAGACAGCTTCCAAACTTGTTACAGGTCTTCACCTTCCTAAATAGAAATAGAAAAAAAAAATACATATATATATATATGTCACCAAGTAAACTTTCCTCAGCTTCCATCAGTCAGCAGCAAGCTGTTGTATACTGCTACTACCTAATAAACCACTCACAAAGCAGCAACAGAGAAAAGTAGCGAAAAGTGGCATTGGTATGTAGCTCAGTTGTGCTTTTGCACTTGCTTTCACCCCCTTCCACCTAATAAATGCAATCGTTGAAACAGATGGTCTGGTGTGTTTGTGTGTCGGTCTATTTCACTTTGCGACAGGATCACACTAAAGAAGGTTAATACTAAGAAGTCACCGGGAAATTGATAAAAACTTTTAAGTCAGGTTGAATTTGCAAGAAATAAGTAGAAAGCCATGCAAACAAAACTAAGACCTTTTATTTTCACCATTTATATTTCAATGGACTTTGGTGCAATTTTTTGGTCATTTCAGAAATGCCTTGAAACCAAAAAATGTCCTTGAATTCGTGATGAATTCTATTCAAATGAGCCGAACAGTGCGTATGCCCGCTCAGTGTTTGTCCGTTCACACATTCACGGATTTTTCTGTGGAAGGTAACTCTAAATTATTCTTGGAAAATTTGCCTGCTCGTGGATATTTTTTCTCTTAAAGCTCTCCTGCGGTCTTAGCATGACGCTCAAGAAGAGCGCGGCAGATGTCACGTTTGCACAGCGGGGAAGAGGGAGGGTGAACGGGTGCGTTGTCCCGTCAGACCGTCAGTTTCCGAAACCACAAAAGAAAGCAAAAAAGTTGGGGAGAGAAAATGCCTCGGTGCAATGGAACTTGACATACTGGCTGGTGTTTACAAAGCAGCCAATCCAAGAGTGGATGCAGTGTTAAGACAGTTTCCACTGTGTACTAATTCATATTAAGGTATACTTGGTATTTGAACTGTCAAAATTGACAGTTATGCGAGTCTCAAGTCTTCACAGAGGTTCACATTCCTGTAACTCGGCAGCCCTAATATAAACTCTAGAGCCAGAACTGGAATGGAAATGGTTTAGATCGCATACATCACAACTTAGGATGGCGCAAAGTCCAGAATTTAATCCAAATTAGAGTCGGTGGCAAAACTTTAACATTTATGTTCGCTAATGTTTTACAGAAAATTTATATAACCTGGAGCTACTTCGCAAAAAAGAACCTGTAAAAATGTTGACTGCCTAGAAATGCTAGCCTGCTCAAGGCACAAACCCCCAAAAACCTTCTGATGAAAGGTGGGCTGACATTATTGACTCATTGGTGATCAATAAATATGCTCACCACACTAATCAATTTTTTATTAGTAAAACATTAAGAGCATCTTTTTTGCCAAGATGGACTAGTAACCTGTTGTGGGTGTACACCACCTGCTGCCCAACAGCCGTTAGCATCCAACCCAAAGATGATTCATGACTTTATTGGTGCATCGTTTTCCTCCCATTGCAGAGATATGTTGGTCTGTCACATTAAACAAACCTTTATCTGACAAGATGTGAAACAGTTCTTGTGGTATTGGGTCGAATATTTCCGCAGCCTGACCCTCGACATTTTCCACCATATGTAATCGAAGAGGATTGAACAAGAGACCGTGTGGCCAAAACCAAGTTTTATTAATTAATATGCAACAACATGATGTATTTTGCTGTTATGAAACAATTGGAGCTCTGTTTTTCAATACCAAATGGCAAATTTGCTTCAACTAATCAAAATGTAAAAATAATAATAAATAAATACCACTGTGTTGCAACTGTTCACTTCAATAGCTTTGCTCATAATGTGGGAAATCACAAATAGATGGCAGATATGTCAGGTGTTTAGAAGTATTACTGAATAAATCCATTGACGGGATTTAAATGTGCATAAATAAAACATAAACAACATACAGCAGATGACAAATTTATGGCAAAGATCTGAATGACATGAATTTGCAGAATCTTGCATTTATTCATGTTTACTGCTGCAGGTGTGCATCACCGTGTCTTGTGGATCTGCAGAGGTACTGAATAGAAAACGTCATTAAAGTGAAGCTTTCTTTATTAGTTCATCTTTTATTTTTTAGTTATCTTCAGAAAGAGTCAGGTTTCCACTCTTCGTCACTGTCTGGGGGGGGGGGGAAAAAGCAAAGCGATTATATTTTTTACTCAACCCTGAAGAACGTCCACATGAAGAACGCGTGAAGAAGATTTTTTACTCCGGACACAGTGAGGTGTTGTTACCTTGTCCTAAATTTCTCCTGCCCATGAGTCCAACAAACATCTCGCCTTTGTTGTTATTATTTCCTGATTAAAAAGAAACATGACAAAAGGAAAGGGTGAGGGGAAAATATTCATTTCGAAGACAACAATACAACTAAGATGTGATTAAACTAACGTTTTCTGCCCAGTCTTGCCAACGCACCTGAAATAAAATATGAAAGACGTATAAAAAAAAAAGAGCTCAGGTGTTGACTTTTAATGTATTACATGTATAATCTTGATTGATAGTTTTACCTGGACTTCTTCCCATCAAGCCGTGGAACTGCTGTGCTTTGGACCTCTTGATCAGATCTGCCAGCCGGATGGTTAATCCTCTCTCCACTGGGAAACCCTGAGTCACAAGACAGTCATAAATCCTCTAAACAGGGGAAACGTCTTCCTAACTGTCTAAAGCAAACTGATTTGTTGGTTTTAATTATTACCTGCTCCTGCACTGTAAAAAGAACATCTGAAAATATTCAACTCTAGATATTAATGTTAGTTTTATATTATTATTTTTATTTTCAACATAATGTCAGCCGATTTTTTTTTTTTCTGTTATATGACGATTGGAGACCAGTGAAATTTAAAAAGTATATAAGATGAGTAAAATGGTTTTGATAATTTGCTGGAATTTAACTGATTTGTGTATCTTTTTTCCGTTAAATTTACATAATTTCTACTCAGATATACTGAATAAATTCCACCCAAATCCAACGTAGGTAAGATGTTGATTTTCAGGTTCACATCTTACAGTTTATTTTTTACTCAACAACAACCTCTCAGCTTTATGAATTTTAAAAACAATTCTTTTGAAATATAGAAACGGAGCACAATTTATCATTATTAAAGTTAAAACAACTTGTGGTATCAGCTGTTGTTCAGCTGGACTGTAGTCTGCATTTTGACAAAGAAATTTGGATAAAGCAAGCTGATGGAATTCTCTGTTAGTGGGATGAGGAAAAATTATATTTGTCTTCTTAGATTTTGTTATATGCTGAATAAGTCACTGTTGAAGACACACAGCGCTGGTTGTTACTATTATTATTATTAGCAAGTTTGATATGTATTGACTTTAAAATGTATGACAATACTTTTCACTTTGACACTTTGTATTAAAATTATTGTTTAAAATTTGTGTTTACATCAAAATAGCACACATCAAAACCAAATCATATATGTTTTTTTTTTTTTTTCAAATATTGTGCTAAAAACTAAGCACAATATTTGAACTGTATTGGTTTCAAAATATATGTCAATACTTTTCATCTTGGCATATTTTTGCATGCAAGTTATTGTTTAAAATCAATGTTTAGATCAAAATAGCAAAATAGTACACGTCAAATCCAAATCATAGTTGTTGGGTTTTTCTTTTCAAATATTGAATTAAAATTTAAGGTGCGTTCAGAAGGTGCGTTTCCCCTAAAGCCGCTCGCGGGTCCATGCAGCTCCCGTTATGTTCTTAATGTGAGGTGAAACTCGGACCAAAGTCCATAAACTCGCCATATTTGCTTGGTTTCTGTCTTACCTGCCAGTTGTCCACCGTCCACATTTGTCCCTCCTCGTCCTCCGCGGACAGCGGAGCCCCCAGCGCGCTGACGGTCTGCACCAGCACGACCAGCAGTAGCACCGCCGCTAACTTCACACCCTCCATGGTCAGCGGTCAAAGCAGCAGCAGCAGCAGCAGCAGCAGCAGCGGGTGGTGGTGACTGAGGCGCCGCTGCTTCGAACGCATACAGGGGCAAACTGATGTCAGCTGCGCAAAAACAGCAACCGGTTGGGTTTTATTATTATTATTATTAGATTCTCCGTCTCTCTCTTAGGTTTCATCTGGAAAGAGGGTCTCTGCTTGTTCTTATAAACTCCTTCTGATCGCTCCACCCCACAAACCAAGCGTGTTTCCCCCCACCCCACATGTCTGAGTCATGAAGCGTTGATACAAGGTAGGATGTCTTTCTGTACCAGGTGAGTGACACACGCTTTCACTCAATACATGAATGAACTATACCGAAGTGCAAATTTAATATGTCAGGAAAAAAATAACTATTGGAAGTGACAAGAGTGTGTTTTTTACTTTCAGGTCTGCCTTCAGCTGCAATAACCATAAACTGTCATGTTGAGTTTTTATATCCCATAAATCTACAATCTGATCTTCAGGTTGAGGTGTTCGTTTCCTAGTCACGCGACTGACACGGTAACCTGATTTATCCATTCTTTAAATAATCTCTGCCACAACCAATGTTGAGAATTTACCGTTCCCCAAGCTAACATGTTACACAGAGGTACAGAGTTCCGGTTTACAGGGTTGGAATTTAAGACTCTTTAAGAATAACATTTAAGACCTATATCTCCTCAGAAATGTCCAAACTTCAACAGCCCAACTGACAATAAATTTGAATTTACCCATGATAGACGCAAAAAACCTAGCTAGATAGCTAGCAAGGATATGTTGGCAGTGTTAGCGTTAGCCTTAAGTCACAAAACACAAGATGTATGACTCAAACTTTTGACTGACAAAAAAAGTGCTGTGAAAAAAAGAACAAAGAAAATATACAAGATTAAATAGTCCTACTAAAATAAAATTGAAGACCTGGTTGTAATGTATCTAAGGCCAACTTAAATTTTTTTTAAACGAGTTTAAGACACTTTAAAGTCTTAATTTTAGATGCATGAACATAATAATGAATAGAAGACTTGTTATGTAAATATTTACTTTTTGTGGGGGGAGCCTCTAAAAATAGAGCTGCTCATCTATTTTTACTCATTTTTGAAGTAGATAAAGTATGAGTGCAAGCATTGAGTTAAGGGGCGTGGCCAGTAACAGCTTATTTGCATTAAAGTGACAGAGCCGTAAAACAGTTCATTCTGAAAGAAACTCCAATTAGGCAAAACTGAGGAGCTGAAATCTCATTATAAGAGGATGATTTTGGGCAAAAAATGTAATGAACATGTTTTGGGTAGTCCATGGACCTACCTTCACATATCTAAAAGAAAATATAAAAGGTACCTTTTAAGAATTGTTTTAAGGATGTTACGACTCCCTATTTTTTATATATTTTTTCATGTTACCACCAGGCTGCACAGTGGCGCAGTTGGTAGAGCTGTTGCCGTGCAGCAAGAAGGTTCTGGGTTCGATTCCCGGCCCCGGTCTTTCTGCATGGAGTTTGCATGTTCTCCCTGTGCATGCGTGGGTTTTCTCCGGGTACTCCGGTTTCCTCCCACAGTCCAAAAAACATGACTGTTAGGTTAATTGGTCTGTCTAAATTGCCCCTAGGTGTGTGTGTGTGTGCACATGGTTGTGTGTCTGTGTTGCCCTGCGACAGACTGGCGACCTGTCCAGGATGTACCCCGCCTCTCACCCGGAACGTTAGCTGGAGATAGGCACCAGCACCCCTCCCGACCCCACTGAGGGACAAGGGTGTTCAGAAAATGGATGGATGTTACCACCAAAAACTTCAGTGTATTTTGGCATGAGATTGCAACACTGGTAAAAATGTTGAAGGGTTTATAGAGGCTTTGTGGTGACTTTAAGGCAGAGTTTCAGAATGAGCAGGAGCTTCTTAAAGAGACAGACACCCGATTTCAAGCTGTCGAATTTCTTTTAAGTCACATTTGATATATATATAGACTTATAAGAACTGAAGTTATTTGAGTTACTTGACTATGTTATAAAATGTCTCTATGTGCCTGGAAAATACATAATACTGCCCCTTTAATAAAAGCCACTGAAGTTTTGTTTTGTAACTTTATCAAATGTGAAAACATTATGCTGTTGTCCAACACCAGAAAGAAGAGCAAAGCTCCCGAATGAATTTGAAAAGTGACATTGAGTTTGAAATGCCTCACAAAATTTGAAGGACAAAATTTGTAGCGCACAACAGTAGGGCATTTTTTTTCCAATGACCTTACATGATTGGACAGCTCTGAAGGTTGTTTGCACATCACGATTTTTTTGACTGCATCTGAAAAGGAACGGCATGCTGACGTGAAGCTGCTGTAAAGGACAAAGCTTTTCACAGAAATAATAACCAAGGAAGCTGCATCTTTACAATATGAATATTCCCTAAGTTACTCCTTGTCTAGGTGACGTTATCAGCTACTGATATATTACTGTCCTTTGTTTTGTGCCTCTAAACATCTTCCACATGTGTTTGCTCATTTTGATCTACAGTGCCTGGCACAATATTCATACAGCTTGAGCATTTTCACATTTTTAACATCAGAACTGGCCACTTCACCCACACTTCAACAAACCGGATATATGGAAAACAAATAGATTTTTATGCATTTTGATCTTTCATCCACATGAAAGTGGAGATTTGAAAAAGCTCAATATTTGTGTTTGTGTGTGTATAGTTGGAAAAACAGAGTTTTAAGGTCCTGTGCATTACAGAGACCTTTATTTGGTCCCTGTATTTGGTGCGACAAATAATGCACCAATATATCCACATACTTGCTTTGACACGATTCCTAATTGACATCGTCTTGTGTTTTAATAATGTTTTATGTCCTAATATGCTATTTAAAAGTAGATCGACCTATACATGGACCTCCTGGCGCCATGTTTAATTCCTAACAGGAAGTCGTAGTTGTTTTGAAGCGATCAAAAAGCTGATGTAGGTTTCAGCTTTGCGCTACACTGCCCCCTACGAGTTTGGCACGCTTAAAACAATGTTCAAGGACATATTTGTGTCCATTCATGTGTAAGAAAACTTTTCTGTGTTTTTTTTTTTCAAGCCATGTGATGGAGATTTTTATACATGCGGAAGGTGTCTCACTGCAGGTTTTAACCTGCCAGCATCACAACCTTTATCATATATGCAAGGCTGGGTGGAATGAAGCAAAACAAAACAAAAACAAAATCATAAAGTAACTTCTGTTGAGAATGAGAATCTCAATCGATGAATCATAATTTGTATTGACACACGGAGCATAAAATCAGCCAAGAAAAGCATTCA